TTTTAACAATTTGAATCGCAACCTCATTATCACAGTAAATGGGGGTTTCTAGATAATTCAAACTATAATCCAACAGCTGATGTTGGATCCAGATAACTTGAGAGCAACAAGCAGATGTAGCAACATATTTCGCTTCCGTTGTTGAGGTTGAGACAGTGTGTTGTTTCTTGCACTGCCACGACACTAGCCTGTCTCTAAGGAATTCACACCCTCCTGAAGTAGATTTCCTGTCAAGCTCACCGCCTCCATAATTACTTTCAGCAAATGCATATAAATCAAATTCAGAATTTTTCGGGTACCAAAGACCCAATTTTGGGCTTCCTTTGATATACCGAAAGATTCTTTTGACAACAATAAAATGTGAAAGTTAAGGATTAGCTTGATAACGTGCGCATTGACAAACTGTAAACATGATGTTTGGATGGCTTGCAATAAGATACATCAACGATCCGATCATCGATTTGTAGTGAGTCTGATCTACGGATTCGCCATCAGTATCTGCAGTCAGCAGGGGTTTTTTGGCCATCGGTGCTGATTCAGGTTTTGCGTCTTGAAACCCGAACTTCTCAAGAATATCATGATTCTAGTTGAATTTTGTTTGACCTGAAGCCCCAGAATCATGGTCATCTCACCTAATGAGCTCATCTCAAACCTCTTTTTCATAACATCTTCAAACTCTTTGCATAGTTGTGGGCTGGTAGACCCAAAGATAATGTCATCAACGTAGATCTGGACTAGAATCTGATCATTATCCACATGCTTTATGAATAAGGTTTGATCAATAGTTCCACGAGAGTATCCATGCTCGAGCAAATGCTTTGTGACAGTCGCATACCACGCTCGAGGAGCTTGATGCAGAGCCTTGTCCAACTTGTAGACATGATTAGGAAACTTCGAGTTAACCAACACAGGGACTGATCAACATAGATTTCTTCCTTCACCTTGCCATACAAGAAGGCTGTCTTGACATCCATTTGCTAAACCGTGATGTTCATGTAGGAAGCATATGCAAGGAAGATAAAAATAGCCTCCAAGCGAGCTATTATAGCATAAACCTCAGTGTAGTCAAGACCCTTGATCTGTCTAAAGCCACAAACCACCAAGCTTGCTTTATTGCACACTATGTGTAACAACCCGAAGTTGTTCGTCGCCAAAACCCGTTCAACCCGAAAAATTTTCCGTTATCAAATTCATTCCGTTTTCACCTTGGGTTAATTATTTAAAATTATATGTTTATTATAATTTAATGAGTGTCTAAATCACTCAGGAACTCATGTAATTAGTCCAAAATATTTATTTCATAAGTTTTAGAAACGTCCCCGCCAGGCGACGGTAACTTTATCGGGTGCGACCAAAAGTCGCGTTTAAGGCCGGTATCGGGTAGAATTCCACCATGTCCAAGTTTTAGGACCTATATAAACGTGTTTAAGCACTCATTTGAAGCTTTTTCTTCCTCTCTCTACTCTCTCTCTAACCTCTCTCCTAAATCCAAGTTTAAGGGTCCAAAACTCAAATTTAAGGCCTCAAATCTCTAAGGTACTTTCCCTAGCTTGTATTGTAACCTTCTTAGCCTTCAAATTTGAGTTCAAAACATGGATTAAGACCACATTCATGAGTTTACGGCCATGGAGCATTCATGGGCCGTAAACTCATATAACATGGGTTTTTAAGCCCTAAAATCCCTCCTAAGCAATTTTGGACTTTAGATATGGCTTAATGGCTTCATGAAATGGACATATAACATTTAAAACATAAATTTTGAGTCATTTGAAGGAGTTTACGGCCAAGGCATAAGCTTGGGCCGTAAACTCATGTAAATGGGGTTTTCATGCCCATAAACCCTTCCAAATCACAAACAAGGCTTAGATATGACTTGTAGAATAATGGTTTTAACATTTGGACACTTTAAACATCATTTTTGGGGGACAAACAAGAGTTTACGGCCAAGGCATGTGCTTGGGCTGTAAACTCCTCTAAATGGGGGATTTAGTGCCTTAAAACATGTCCAAATGCCTTGAAACTCAACCAATGACCTTGTGGTAAATCCTAGAATCATCTAAAAATGTTTTGGAGACCTTAAACACATTAAACACATTACATATAGGAGTTTACGGCCTAAACACATAGCCTTTGGCCGTAAACTCATAAAGACATGCCAAAATGTCCTTAAATCAACCCTAAAGCCTTGGAATGAATTTTAGAAGTCCTTACAAACAGGTTTTTGGCATTAAAACACATGAAATCACTCTCTAAGAGAGTTTACGGCCATGAGAGGGGTCTTATTGGCCGTAAACTCCAAAAACCTCTTCAAAATTTCATACAAATGCATGTAAGGCCTTGAAACAATTTTAGCAATCACATGTGATTTGTTCTAGCACCATTTAACACAATTTTCATGAATATTAAGGAGTTTACGGCCAGGAGCCTATGCTAGGCCGTAAACTCCCATAAATGTGTCATTTTGATGTTAAAAATCCATTCCAAGACTTTGAACAAAACCTAGAAAAATTCCCCTAAGTGTTTGAAGTCATTTTTGCCCGTAATTGACCCACCATGAGTTTACGGCCGTAAACTCATGGGGAATGGGTCTTGTGGCTCTAAACTCCCTAAGAGGTGTTCCTTTGAAGTCCCAATTCATTATCCTAACTATATGTGTCCCTAAATGTCACCCGGGTCCCTCCAAACACTTATATCGGAGTGTTTTCGCGACTAGAAGCAATTGTCCCTATCAAATAATCAATCTAGGTCCTAATTAGATACAAATGTGTATCTTTACATTATACTTAGGAACCTCGTGTGTTTACAAGCCCCGGACCAACTCTTAGCATCCAAACCGTCACGTTTCTCGTTCGGTGAGTTCATACCCTTACGCCCTTTTCCGTGTTTTTCACTGTTTTCAGGGGGGGAATACAAGCAAACTATAACTATTTTCAAACCACAATATTGATATGTTTCAAATATATCTGACAAACTTATAAACACTTTTACTTCTTATGTATTATGCTGAGCATAAGGAACGATTTATCAACTACAACTAAATGAATTTTAGTTAAGGAAATAACCAAACTAATCAAATTATTATGGGAATAATTTGGGGTTCTTTACTGTTCGTTTTATCATGTACTGATATCTATATAAAGTTACTAGATAAACTATGTCTGATTCAGTTTATCTCCATATCATTTGAATGTATTGTCAGATAGTTTCATTGTATGTATCTATATTCGTTGTATCACGTTTCATAATCTTCTGTATGTTGATATCATATGAGAACCCTGTGAATAGTTTAGTACTAGTTTGTGAGATAGTCACTACCCTTTATGGATGATCAGTAAATCCTCCCCGGAAGTGTAACCAGAGTCTCCTGGAGGGAGAGCGAGGAATTGGTGAATAGATCTATTTGGGACTGACAATCCAACACCTTAACTGCTAGCTACAGTTAGGCGGGCACGCCTGGGGTGACAAATTTCTGGATATCGTTTCGACGTCTGACAAACGTCAAGGAGGTCTCGTTGTCATATTAGCATGGTTACCCGACTCACAACATGTATTAACATAAATTTATTCACAGTTTGGGTTTTATAATCTTATATCTGGTTCGGGATAGTGATCCCATGGTTTTGTCAAACTATTTTGTATCTAGTTCAGGATAGTAGTCCCATGGTTTTTCAGTCTATTGAACTTGTATCTAGTACGGGATGTTATTCCCATGGTTTTTCAGTATGTATATATCTTATATCTTATACGGGATAGTGATCCCATGGGTAGCTATCTATAACTTGTACGGGATGTTTGCCCCATGATTTTTAATTATATCTTATACGGGATAGTAATCCCATGGTTTACATTTATATCTTGTCTGGGATAGTGATCCCATGGTTTTCAATCTATATCTATTTCGGGATAGTAATCCCATGATTTCAATCTATATCAAGTACGGGATGATAATCCCATGGTCTAAATCTATATCTTGTCCGGGATAGTGATCCCATGGTTTTCAATCTTTATTTCCATATATATCAAATTATCTCGTGTCTAGTCCGGGATGGTAGTCCCATGATCTTAAATCTGTACTTTCATATGTGTCAAACTATCTTATATCTCTTTCGGGATAGTGATCCCAAGATTTTCAACATATAGTTTTGTGTATTAAACTATACTTTGTGATATACAATTGGTCTTACAATTAGGAAAATATGGGATTTTCCTGGGGTAAAATACAACACGTAATCGAATTGGTAACAAATGATAACTAAACTAACTTTACATAAGAAAATATGGGATTTTCTTGGATAACAAACCTTTTCGGAAACTAAAGGAACCGATACATTTTCATAAAACAAAACCGCTTATGAACTCACCAGCTTTATGCTGATTTTCAAACCGCTTGTATTCTCAGGTCCGAGTTAGACAGGTACCCGGTGATATCTTTTGGAGAAGACGGAGTGCTCAGAAGACTCGTCTCAACTTTTGTTAATATGATGCATATGTATATCTTGTATAACTTTACTTTTGAAACAAATGTAAACTTTCATATATATGTAATGTAATGGTTGTTTACTGTGATTACCATGTACATTGGATTTGATACACAACGTGGAAGTCCACCCCGGAAATGTTTCCGCCTTTGATTTTCGGGGTGTGATACTATGACTCCTGAATCATCTTGATTGTTTCGATAGACCCAGCTTATGTCAAGAGACTTTTTGCCCTTCGGTAGCTCAACCAATTTCCAAACCTCGAGCTTCTCAAATTGATTTAGCTCCTCATGCATAGCATCTACCCAACTGGGCTCATTCAAAACCATTTCAATGTTCTTAGGCTCTATTTGAGAGATAAAGCAAGAATACAGACTCATTAGCAATTTCTTCAGGAAAGAGTAGTTCCATATTTGCTGATCGGATGATCGCGTTGAATTCTTGAGGGTATTTCCAGGCTGATATCATTGGGTGAAATAGGAAGATTGTGAATGTTGAAACCTCCATCATTTGTTGATTGTTCTACATTGGATGAATCTGCTACAAACTCATTAGCAATTTCTTTTGGAATTAGTAGTTCCATAAAAGTTGAACTGACAGTGGAAGCTTCTCTAGACATGAACTCTCTTTCAATAGGGGTAAGAGGTGTAGCATCAACATCAGGGGTATCACCTTCACATCGTCACCACCAGCCTTCGAATCTTCACCCTTCCTTTCCCCCTTGCACCCCTGTATAAACAGGTGGGGCATCTGTTGTTGGAAGAAGGTTGGATATGCGAGAAAGAGGAGTAAATTGTTTGAGAAGTATATCTTTGAATTGAGAAAAATTTGCAACAGAAAATCCGAAGATAGTTGAGAAGATGATACTAGCTTTGTAGATAATTCTTTGATCCCCATTAACAAAGTGATGACCTCCATAAAAATTTTTCTTTCAGTTGTATAGAGTTGAGATAGTTGAGGACTCAAACTTTCATACAACTTGGAAAATATCATCATAGCATCACAGATGATGTCAACCTTCTGATTTAAAGAAGCATATGCCGTTCGAACACATGCAATCTCTTTGTCCATATATTGACAAAGTTCTTGAAGTTTGAAGTTGACATCCTCACGAACCTTCTTGACGTCTTGAGTAAACAATACATGACGTTCCTTGGTCTCCTTTCGCAATTCCTTCAAATCTCCTTCAAATGTGGAATTTTGAGAATTCACACTCAACTCATTATTTTGATCACACAGATCAACCTTCTCCAAAATACAAAACTTATAGTCTTTGATCATAATATAAACTTTCAAAGTGATCCTTCCTTCTAGCAATTTTAACAAACCATCAACCTCTAAACTTGATGCAGAATTACCTCCCCCAAGATCTGCTTCTGATTGAAGAATACAATTCAGCTTTGTATTTAAGATTTGCTTCATTGTCATAAGCATATGATCTGGGAAATCAGCTTCGTCTTCACCAAATACCAAATTCTCAGAAGTACCTCCAAAACCTTCAGATTCATTCTCGGTCTCCATAAAAATAGATTATTTAATTGGTGAAGTGGTTGTGGGTGGGTCTGTTGATTAAGAAGAGAAAAGAGAAGTAAATGGATGTTTGATGATGTTTTTGAATGTAGGAGAATCTGTGGTGGAAGTAATGGGTATGAAAGGTGTAATTTGTTGAGGAAAAGAAAAGAAAGTTTCTGAGGTAAAATTTGAAGGTTTACCTTGTTCCGCTTTCTTCGAATCATCCTCACCCATGAGGACATTTGCATCCGTATTAGATACGTATACAAGAATGTCAAAAGTTCGTGCCTCCTCAGAAAATGACTTGGAAACCGAATCTTCGGGTGGTATAACTGCTGTCTGTGATCGAGTAGAAGTATCTTTTTGGAGATTTGCTTTAAGAGTTTCTCGAATCCTTTCATCTTTGTCATCTGTAGATTCAGAATAGATGATCATTTTGCTTATCTTCTTCTTCTTCTTTGAGATATGTTTAGCCATATCTACAGCCGTTCGTTTCTTTGAAGATGGAGAAACAGGCGTTGGAATTTCACGAAATTGGACTCCCTGATGAGTAACTTGTGGATTTCGTACTACATTAGTCATTGGAGACTTGATCTTGTGCTTCGAATTCATTTTGATTCTTCGAAAAATACCGGTCTTCGAAGGAATAATTTCTTTTTCTTGAGTTTCTGGACAACAGGCTTAGTTAAGGTTGTGTCAACAACCAAAACTTCATGTGTCACTGGCTCTTCATCAGTGATTGGTTGATTCTTTGGAATCTTCATAGACTTAAACTCCTTGACTGGTTTTTCAGAAGAACTAGTTTCAGTCTTCTTTGTACGTTTTGGCCTTGTCTCCTCCCTTTCCAATAGAATCCCGCTCTCAATAGTAGTATCAATTGTTTGCAAATTAGTCTCTAAGATTGTATTCATTAGATCAACACATTTGGAAATCACATCAGGAATACGAGCTACAAAAGGAAACTCCTCAGTATTATTAATTGCATCCTTTGGACAACTGTATACGTGAATCCCCTCCTTCTTGTAAAAGTACTACAAAATCAAGCTCCAATATCTTGCACATGAAATTCCATGAAGAGCATTAGTGTTTTCGATACTGTTCAGAAATTCTTTCCACAATTGAGTAGACTAATCCACTTGTACATCATAATAAAGCCCTGCAACCATGGCATACACCTCCATTCGACCCTTGTCAAGACCAACTGTTCTTCCAGTCAAACACCTCAAGAAAATACTAAATAAGAAATTCCAAACACTTGGAAGAACTGACTTCTTGAAGTCACTGATCTTTGATAATTGAGGTTGATGGCCCATTTCATTAAACATATGAACGATTTGAGGAAAGGTAAAATTGACATACATTGGGTAATTAGGGATTTCCAAAATCTAATAGAAAATCTTCTTAGACAATATGACCTTTTTATCATTCACAAGATTGAAAGTAACTGCATCAAAATCTTTTGAATATGTAGCAGTTGATCTAGCTTGAGAAAGCCATGAAAGTGGAACAGAAACAGAATTGAACATTGCTTTTGATAGAACAGAACTCTTCAAAGCAACGATTAGCATCTTGTGTTCTTTAAGGTATTGAGAAACATTAGCATTAACTTGATAATTTGAACCCTAAATCTTCATAATTGGTAAAGAAGTGACATCATCAGTGGTGTGAGAAATATTGGCATCAGGATTAGCAGAAGTCGCCATTGTTAGGGTTTAAAAGCTTGATGTAGATTAGAGAGTATTTGGCTATTATTGTGTTTGAAAGCGTAAACTGATAATGAACCCTTGAATCCCCTTTTATATGTAACCCTTGATTTTGAAATAAAAGCAGGATGTGCATTTAAAGAAATCTGACATGGCACCGAGAAAACCATGTCATGATGATGATAAAGTGATCATGCTTGATAAAGTAACTGTCACGTCTCCTCAAAACCCGAACAGGATATAAAACGTCACCTCAAACAGGCTAGTTTGTTTTACCTAATGGAATAGTAACCGTCGAAACCCTTCGTATGGAAGTAAGGCTCTTTTACTTTTGGGTTTTAAAGTAAAGTCATTTTCCAGATGTTTGAAATCAGCAGCCTGAGTTGGTGTTACTCAGAACCTCAAGGATTTCGTGTGTGCAGTGTTCCAAAGAATTTAGATGAGAAGCAATAAAAAGAAAATTTTGGAATTTAGTGATGTCAAAAATTCAATTTGACACGAAGGCAATTAAAACCCCTGCCAAAGGTTGCTTCGTTAATCATCAAGAGAGATGATCAACAGCTTGCGTATGTTCATGTGAATTACAATCGAATACTCGTAAAGAAGTATCAAAGGGATTCTTTTAAAAAGGCATACTAGGTGCCTTAATGAATTCTGTTACATATCAACCTAAACATAAGTTGAGTTAGTGTAACAGAAATTACTTGTTTGACATGTGTAGTCAGTGACAAGTTTTCATTGGAAAACTTTTAAATGACTTTGAATTTCGAATAAAACTTACACGGAAATCATATTCAACAAAAAAAATTGTACTGGATCCTGTTGGGTAACAAATATCGTGGGTTTCGAATGTTTGATCAAGACCACTCATAAGAAATGAATATGATTTTGAGTTTCGAATGTAGGTACATAAACAAATGTTTTGTTAAAACCTGGAACATAGTTTCGCGTCAATTCCTAAAATGTTTACAGATTTGGGTTTCACTTTCATCACAGTCTCATGATGTCAGATCATAAACATAGATTTTTCATATGTCTAGGTTTCGATTGGTTTGATCAGATACCTCTTGGACATATTTCTTCGTGTGTGTTTGTGTAAGAATTTAGAGATGAAAAAGATTGGAAGAAGGCCCGAAATGTACCTCTGTTATATTTGGACCAAACAGTAAACTCTTAACTCATGTGAAAAGAGTCAGTTAGCTTAGAAGACTAATGTGAATACAAGCCTGATTGGGAAGAAATCTCCATATGAAAATTTTCATTAATGCTTTCGAACACACATATTGAGTCAATAGAGGCTTTGGTCAACATGTTGCAGCAAGCTTCTAGGGACATCTTAACTAGTTCAAAGTATTTGAAAAAATAGCTAACCCTAGAACTGCAAGCATTACACTAGATGAATCAGCATGTAAATCTGCAACAAAATACAAAAAAGAAAAGAGAAACAAAATATTTTTGTTGTTTTTGGATTTTTTTTTTTTTTGAGAAAAAAAATTAAAAACAAAAATCTTTCTGGAAATTTTTATTTTTCGAAAAAAAAAATCTTTTTGGAATTTTTGATTTTTCGAAAAAAAATAAGAAATTGAAATGTACTTGTTGCAAACATACGCAATTTAATCAATCCCTGAAAAATGACAAATTTACGAATTCGAAGGATTCGAATAGTTGACTATCAATAGTAACATCTGAATACTTAATGACATTCCTTTTTCTTTGATTTCGTGTCTCTGAACCATTCCTCTTTAACCATCATTCTCCTTTTTCGCATGTAATAGAGTTTCCATCGATCATTCCAAGTCCTTCCAAAACTCTTACAAATAACTTTTCATCTAACGGTTTTGTGAAAATATTATCTAACTGATTTTTTGTTTTCACAAAATGCACTTCAATATTTCCAACTTCTACATGATCCTTGATGAAATGATAACGATGAGCTATATGTTTAGTCTTCAAATGCTGCACAAGATTATGACAAATTCTTATGGCACTTTGAGAATCACAATATAATGGAATCTTTTCATATTAATTTCATAATCATGCAATTGACTTTGGATCCAAATTATTTGAGATGTACAGGCATTAACAGCCACATATTCTACTTCAGCAGTTGAAATTTATACAGATGTTTGCTTTTTCGATTGCCGGCTCACCAATTTACCATCAAGCAATTGACAACCACCCAAGTCTGCATCCGAATATGCTTGTACAAAGAACCCAATTTTCGAAGGATACCACAATCTTGATGAAATTGTTCCCTTAAGATAACGAAATATATTCTTCACAGCAATGAGATGTGGTTCTCGTGGATTTGATTGATACCTAGCACAATTACACACAGAAAACATGATATCAGGTTGACTAGCAATAAGATAAATTAATGAACCAATCATGCTTCTGTAAAGAGTTAGGTCAACTACAGGTTTATCTAATGAAGGAGTCAGCTTTATGCCAGTTTCCATTGAAACACGTAATTTCGTGCTATTCGTCAATCCAAACTTCTCTAGCAGATTATTCTTATATTTTTCTTGATTGATAAAAATACCTTGTCTGTTTTGACAAATATTCAACCCAAGAAAATTATTGATTTTTCCCATCATGCTCATTTCAAACTTGCTTTTCATCAAATTTTTGAATTCACTAGACAAAGCAGGGTCAGTTGAGCCAAAAATTATATCATCAACATAAATTTGAACAAGCATTAGATGATTCCCAATTTTCTTTCGAAATAATGTGGGATCAACTAATCCGTGTTTAAATTTATATTGTTTTAAAAAGAAGTAAGCATTGCATACCATGCTCGTGGTGCTTGTTTTAAACCATAAACTGCCTTATTTAAGATATAAACATGATCAGGATGTTCTTCGTTAATAAAATCTTAGGGTAGTTCTACATAAATTATTTCTTCAAGCTCTTCGTTTAAAAATGCTCACTTCACATCCATTTGATAAACATCAAAGTCATTGTGAGCTGCATAAGCAAGAAATATACGAACAGCCTCGAGTCTTGCGACAGGGGTAAAAGTTTCTTTGTAATCTATTCCTTCTTGTTGAGAATAACATTTAACAACAAGCATGGCTTTGTTTCGAACAATGTTTCCATCTTTGTCGGTTTTATTTTTGAAAATTCATTTTAACCCGAAAATCGAAACATCATTTGGCTTAGGAATTAATCTCCAAACCTTGTTTTGTTCAAATTCAGATAATTCAGATTGCATTGCAACAACCCAGTCTGAGTGTTCCATTGCAATCTTAACTGTCTTTGGTTCAATCTTAGAGATAAAAACATTGAACATGCAAAAATCTTGATGAGTATTTAATACCTCATTCTCTGCACGAATTTGAGCTCTTGTTAAGACTCCCTCTTGTGGATTTCCAATTATTTGATCCTTCAGATGATCTTTTTTCCATTTTCCCAGTGGTGGATAAGTTGGATCAAATTCCAAAGTTGCATCTTCGTATAAATCATCATTTTCTAAACCTGCAATTAAACATGCATCATTAAAATCATCAAATTTTTCATTTTGTTCAAAATGCTCCCCCTCAACATCAGCATATACTCTTTCATTCTCCCCCTCGAAATAATGCTCCCCTTCACCAAGAGTGTTCAAATCCAAGTGCTCCCCCTCCACTAGATTAATATTCATACTTTCGTCTATCTCTAAAGGATTTGATGTTGAACTATCATTGAGCTTCGTTAATTTAGAGATATGATTTTCATTGGCTTTAACTTCAGCATCAACAGCATGATCTGAAATTCAAAAAATAAAATCATAATCAATATCCAATGGTTGTAAAGGTTCAGATTCTTCGTGTATTTCTATTAAAATATGTTGATTTTCAAAATGCTTTTCATTTTGTTTGATATAATAATCATCAAATGTAAGATTAAATGTTTCTTCCACTTTTCATGTTTTTTTGTTCAACACATGATTGGCGACTGAATTATGAGAATATCCTAGGAAAATCCCTTCATCAGATTTTGCTTGAAAATTCAAAAGGTTGTCCTTAAGATTCAAAATAAAGCACCTACATCCGAAAACATGGAAAATTTTCACATTAGGTTTTCGATTATTTATTATTTCATATGGAGTGATATTAAAACGACGATGGATGAAAGATCTGTTTTAAGTAAAACATGCAGTGGAGACTGCTTCAGCTCAAAGATACTATGGAAGATTCGCATATGCCAACATAGTTCTTGCTACTTCG